TTCGATGAAAGTGGTTATTGTTTGCTGGGGATAGGGATGTGTAGAGAGGGAGGTTGACTGGGGATGGGGATGGCTGGGTTGGGGTGACGGTTAAGGGGTGGGGTTAGGAGGGGAGGGGGTTAGCTTTTATTTTTTATTTTTATATATTTGATTTTAATGTTTTAAAATTATTTTTAAAGAAAATAATAATTTGTTGACTGAATTGCCCCTTCACCACTAACAGAAATTAAACAAATTTGACAGAAATGACAGAAATTGAGAATTGTCTTTGAATTACTTCAAATTGAAACTAGGCAAAATTGACCAAATTGAAATGACAGGGACCAAAGTGGTAAAAGTGACAAACTACAGAGACCAAAAGTGATCTTTTGACATAAAAGTATAATCGTAGGAGAGTTTAAAATAGTATTATACCTGATTTTCTCCTCCCGTGGGATGTTGTGTTAATTGGCCTTTTATAGTCAGTAGAGTCTAGGGCTCCAACTTTCATATTCCTCATTTTTCTCCATGACTCAGGATAATGGATATCATGTTACTTGATTTTCTCCACTCTCCCAAGTTTAGAATGCATGGGTAGTAGGTTATTGCTTATGGAGTAAATTTTGCTCTCACACACCATCTTGTTGGACGTGAAATGGGTGGCCAAGGTTTCAGATTTCGGGTTATCGAAAATGGGCACCACCGGCACATCCAAGACCCACATCAGCACCTTGGTGAAAGGCAGTTTCGGGTATTTGGACCCAGAATACTACCGACTTCAACGACTGACTGAGAAGTCTAGTAACTTTTTTGTCTTTCTTTTAACTTTTTTCCCTGGCTGCATCCTGCACGTAAAATCATGAAACATTCAAACATGAAGAAGCAAGCAAGCATGCAAATGCGAGGGGGGTCGCAGCTTGTTTGGACGAGTCTAAAACTAAAAGTCTTTTGTGCCATTTCGCTGAAATCATTGAAAATATCAAACGAGACAGCCATTCCGCTGTCTAGTAACTCAATTCCCACACACAACCAAGTTCCACAATAATATCTCGCCAAGATATTCCTCTGCCCCATCAATTTTATTTCAATCGATTGTAGTGTTTGTGGTCCTAGTTTATTTTCCTTTCACATCTAGTTAATCTCTGTACAAATTCTATATAGTCAGTCTACAACACCCGTCAAATACTCCACGGGATGTTTGTCATGTGGATGTGGATGATTTGTGGTGTTCATCGATAGAGAGCTGAGAGTCAATTGAAACAAAAAACTTTTCCAAATTTGAGAGCGGTGTAAGAATCCAAACACGCGTACGACCGACTCCCTTACAAATGCATAACTACGCCTAAGAATGGTAGTTAGAATTTGACCCCCACAAAAAAGGGAAAAAAAGAAGAAGAATGGTAGTTAGAACAAGAACTTACAAATTTTGAAGAAAAAATCTTTCAATTATGATTAACGATGGTATATATTTTTACGGTTCATTTCTACCAGTAAGTAATATAACTAAGGATTAACTAACTACTCAAGTCCACTGCGTCTACCCTAAAAGGAATTAAGCAAAGTGGGTGCTTAGACAAACTGCTCAAATTTGAGATGCAAGTCTTTGATTCAAACATCAGAAAACAATGAGCAAATTACCAAGTAAATGCTGACTAAATTAACACAAAACAACAAACTTGCCCAGATCCCTCAGCCCAGTCGATGCAAGATACAAGAACCACAAAGAAAGAGACCCCACAAAACAGTGTTGACACTTAGTCTACAGCCTACCCTATGATAGTCAAAGTCTACTATCTTCTATTTGTGGAAAATCTTTCATTTAGATTAGTGCCAAATATATAACATGCAATGAAAGTCTTTGATTTAGTCATCAGAAAGTAATGGGAACTAAACCACGTAATCAGACAAAAAGTTAACTGGGTGGACAGAAAGCAATAAACTTGTGTATAGCATCCAGGCAATTTCTTTGCATTTACACAATGCAGCTTTCCCACTTCATTCAAACATTTGGCACTAGACCTCCTCTCCCAATCATGATTCGTTTAATTATTTGACACAATAACATCGTATTTATTGCATCTAGATCTAATAGTTATTCAATGGGATAATATCCCAGTGATGCTAACGATGGATTCGGATGGATAGTAAGGTCATAGATCCAAATCTTGTGGAAAGAAACTAAAAAGGAGTTTTCCTGTCCACTCCTAACAATTGCAAAATGAATCCTATCGCGGTCGAGAAAGATCACCTGTTACGCTGCAATTGCTCTCAGAAATATATTATTCATCACCAACATATTCGAATTTCAGAACAAGAGAGTTTTCCTGTCAAACGCAACAGAAGTTGGTGATGATATATAAGCAGTCATTCATCATTTAGCACGCGTATAATCATAAGATTTGTAAATAACAAGAAACCTTTTTCCTGTCAAAATTTCCAAAACATTTGGATCCAAAGTCCAAAGGGAAAATAATTGGGAATCATAAATGCTACTTCAAGCTTTCATAAGTCAGTCAAGAACCTACATAACCAAGAATTTTCTAACGAATAACTAAGCCTTGCACTGCCTGCGAGCCATCTTCAGCTATCCTGTTAGCTCGAATTGTGCTGATAACATTTGCAACATTACCCTGCCAATGAGAACTTTGTCAATATACAAATTCAATAATGAGATTTATGGACTACGCAACAAAAAGAGTGGGTCTTCATACAGTACAATGAATCAATTCTCGTTTCTTTGGCAATTATTAAACAAGAATGACAAATAAAGCATGAAGCACTAGATGTAGGCAGTTACTTACCCTCCAAGTTGCTAACTTTGATCTAAGTGTAAGCCATTGTTGCTGCCCAAATACTCTCTCAGTACAGCGGCTGCAGATCAAAGGCTAAATCAGTTCAAGAACAAAGAAGCATAAAAGAATGAATAAATAAATATATGTTTGTTTGTGTGTGCACACAAGGTATGAAACACAAACTTACCTCACAATCACCACTTGATTCATCTGGTCCATTTTACAGTCCATTAACTTAGCAGTTATCGCTTTGACCACCCAAAGTTCGACTTCCTCATCAGTAATCTGCCAAAAA